CCCTCATCAGCGGGAAGAAGCCGTTGCGGGCCGAGGTGCAGAAGTTGGTGCCGTAGACGGCAATCTGGGGGGAAAAAAATGGAAAAACAGCCAAGACGACGGCGCGAGGAATCCCGCCACGGACCAATCCCACCCCGGCGGCGTTCCGCCCCAAAAAAATCCCCAAGAGCGCCGGGACGCCTCGCCGTAGCCGTGACTCTTGGGGCGTTACCGCTCGCCGGGCTCTTACCATGATGTAGGCGTTTCGGTTGAGGAATTTGATGAATTTTTCCAGGCACCAGAAGCAGCACTTGAGGCAGCTCAGGAGGAACTTGGCGAACTTGTTGTCGGCCGCTGGAGGGACGGCAACGGGAGAGGGTGAGCGGCCAAAGCGACTTCGAGGTCACCAAGGAGACGTCCTGTGGCCCCGGCACGACCTCCCAACGCTCTGGTTTTGTGGTTTGTTTTACTCCTCTCTTTGAGTAAAACTCTTGGTGTGCTCCCACCTTTGAGCAAAACTCGTGTTTTACTCCCACCTTTGAGTAAAACCCCAATAAATCCCACCCCGGGAGTCACCTCTTGGAGAAAGAGGTGGGATCCTAAAAGGAAAATCTCGATTCCTGGAGTAAAACTTGGATAAATCCCACCCCGGGAGTCACCTCTTGGAGAAAGAGGTGGGATCCTAAAAGGAAAATCTCGATTCCTGGAGTAAAACTTGGATAAATCCCACCCCGGGAGTCACCTCTTGGAGAAAGAGGTGGGATCCTAAAAGGAAAATCTCGATTCCTGGAGTAAAACTTGGATAAATCCCACCCCGGGAGACACCTCTTGGAGGAAGAGATGGGATCCTAAAACAAAAATCTCGATTCTCTACCAAAACACCGAAATTCCTCCGGTGCGAGGAAGATGGAGGAAGCCAACCACGTCCGTCTACTCGTTCCGCACCTTTTAACCTGTGGTCCAGGTACTCCAGGGTGACCCTGATGACTTGGACGATGGCGAGGATGAGCGAGCCGAAGGCCAGCGAGCCCGTGTGGTACCTGGGAGAAGACGGCTCCGGGT